TATTATTATTATTATTATTATTATTATTATTATTATTATTATTATTAACACACTCTGATGCTAAGGAGTTCTACTCCCCCTCCCCACCTGGAAAGAAATCTCTTCCAAAGGCAAAACACAAAAGCAGAAGAGAGGAGTTTCAGTTTCAGTTTCACAGCACCAAGCAGCTTTAGTACAGGACAGTTGAGCTGAGCCGTGCCCAGGCTCCTTGCTGTCTCCTTCCTGCTCACACAGCAAATACTGCTTCAGTTTCCAAGCAGCCCTCAACTCTCTCACACACTGACGGGATGCTAGCCAGATGAATACCAATGGCTGCTGGTAGGCAGAGGCATAATTTTTTCACCCTTATTTCCCTCCCCCAAAACTAAGCCCAACAGAATAGAATAGAATAGAATAGAATAGAATAGAATAGAATAGAATAGAATAGAATAGAATAGAATAGAATAGAAGAACAGAACAGAATAGAATAGAATAGAATAGAATAGAATAGAATAGAATAGAATAGAATAGAGAATTTACAGAATAGAATAGAATCTTGGAATGTAGAATAGAATAGAATAGAATAGAATAGAATAGAATAGAATAGAATAGAATAGAATAGAATAGAAAGTCTTTATTGTCCAAGCATGATTGTAGACGCACAAGGAATTTGTCTTTGACGCATAAGCAAAGACAAATTCCTTGTGTGTACGTAACAACTACATTCATCAAGAATCATAAGATACAACACTTAGTGATAGCCGTAGGATACTAAATAAGCAATCAAAATCATACTAGGAAAGTAAATAAAACAGTATAAATTGTAAAGAAACAAGCAACAAGGTTCTGGGAATGAGTTGTTTAGCAGATTAAACTTGAGCAGATTTAACCTCAGATGAATCACGCCGTTATCTGGAAAGTTCGCAGGGATCTCTTTCAAGGGTGTAAATTACACCTTCCTGTTAATCAAGTATGCTTTCCTGTTGGTTATCCGGGCTTTTTAAGCTCCGGGCATATTTTTCCAGCGTTGGTCCCTGAGTGCGTGAGAAGCAGAAGCTACAAAGTCAAACCATTTGTCCTCCCCAAAAAATTGATCACTGTCCCACATGTGGCTATCTCTGTTTCTGTCTTGCGTAAACATGGTTATGTAAGGTATGAAAAAAAAAAAAAAAAGAACAAGGATCCAGCCAGGTTAGATTCCCTTCTGGGAGACCCCAGGATCATCCCAGTTACATTCATCTCCCAGTTAAGAGCAACTGGAAGTTGGCTATTTAATCCAAACTGGATCAGACAAGGATTGCTTTAGGAGTGTAGTGCAGGTCGAGCATGGATCTTAAACCTTGCAAATCATTCCAAGGAGTATATATATATTTTTAGAATCTCCCATCGGATAGAAATTTGGTGACTTCAGGCCTCTGAAAAGGGCCAGGCTGATGGAGAAGAAATAATAACCAAGAATATAGATAGTCCTTGATTTACAACTGCAGTTGAGCCCAAACCCTGTTGCCAAGTGAAACATTTGTTAAGTGAACTTTGTTCCATTTAACGACAGTTGTTCAGACTCGGACAGTGAGGAGGTGGGGGTGGAACATGGGCCAGTTCTGGGGAAGGCTCTGACGAGGGCTCTGTGTTGGAAACAGAGATGCGGCCAGGGCTGTCTGACAGTTATCAGCTGCCTTCGGAGTTGGACATCAGTGAGGAAGAAGAACAGCTGGAGCCTGTTCCCAGTTTACACATGCACAGAGCTGCCAGAAGAAGGGAACAGCTAAGGAACAAGAATCAACTTGGGAGTAAGGGCACAGGTGGATGGTGAATGGCCCCTCCCATAGGGAATAAAAAAGAGCGAAAGGAGAGTGGTGGTTGCAGGAGACAATTAGTTCGTTTAATTAGTGTGAAGATCTGTTCCTGACTTCTTGCCAAGTATTGTCTGCTACAGAGCGGCATTTGGAAGAAATCGGCCTGGCAACTCTCCAAGCCTGAGAAAGGTCTACAGTTGTGCAATCTCAAGAAAGACTGTTGGCCGGGACTTGGCTGGAGAGGAATTCCCTTTAACCTAAATAAAAGGGGTTTTACCGGGACAAGGAGTCAGCTTCATGATCTCAGGAAGCCTCAGTCAGAACAGCTTCTCCTTGGTTGTCAGATGGTCACAAAAGGGGATCATGGGATCCCGGCACACTGCCACTGTCATAAATATGAGACAGCTGCTGAGCATCTGAATTTTGGTCATGTGTGCATGGGAATGCAGCAATGGTCGTAAGTGTGAAAAACGGTCCTAACTCATAAGGCACTTTTTTCGATATCGCTGTAACTTTAAATGAAATGTTGTAAGCCTCTAAATGAAGTGTTGTAAGTCAGGGACTTGCTGTATTGCACCCAAGCAGTATTCACATAATATACCAAGCCGCGGCCGCCATATTTTAATGACCATCAAGCCAAGGCCATCAATGTGAACCTAAAAAATTGGAATTACGCTGTTAAGGTTATCATGATACACTTAACCATGAATTTGGCTAAATCGGTTCCTTGCGTAAGACGCTGTTCTCATGGTAACATGGTTATTCTCAATATTGAGGGTTTGCAATTTGGGGATATTTTATTCCAAACTACTTGAGATTTTGAAATTATCAGGACACGTTCGGAAGAGAAGGTCATCTCAGCCGGCTTTTTTGTCATCCTCCCGTGGGTTGCAATTCCACCATCTTCAGGCAGCAAGGCCGTGGATAGGATAGAAGAGAATAACAGAGTTGGAAGGGACCTTGGAGGTCTTCTAGTCCAATCCCATCCTTAGGCAGGAAACCCTACACCAATTTCAGACAAATGGCTATCCAATCTCTTCTTTAAAACTTCCAGTGTTGGAGCATTCACAACTTCTGGAGGCAAGTTGTTCCACTGGTTAATAGTTCTCACTGTTAGGAAATTCCTCCTTAGTTCTAAGTTGCTTCTCTCCTTGGTTACTTTCCATCCATGGTTTCTTCTCCTGCCTTCTGGGGCTTTGGAGGATAGCTTGACTCCCTCTTCTTTGGGGCAGCCCCTGAGATATTGGAAGACTGCTATCATGTCTCCACTAGTCCTAGAAGGATGAACTTCTAGAAGGATGAACTTTTAGAAGTTCAGGTTGATGCATTTCATTGAGAAGGGCTGGTATAAGCCATACTTGCAACTTCTTCTAGAAATAGTAGGATTATAAATAGAAACAATTAAACTTGGCAACATCCTTGTGACATCAGTTGACCTTATTTAACCA